GCTAAGCATGGCATCGCACAGCGGAGAACAACGCATCATCGCATTGAATGCCATGGCATTGCGCCAGATGCCTTGGAGGTTAAATGGCCCCTGTGCGAAAGGAGAAGGCCTGTTTGGAATCAAAGCTCCATGTCCTGCGCAACCGTGCTTGCTTGATGTGGACGCTTTCGAACGCTAAGTGCCGCCTGCAGGGGTATTGTAATTGCGAGATCCCCCCCCTTCCTTTCGGCACGCTGCCTTCCGTTCCCCGAGCCCCCTTTCCAAGTCTCCCTGGGCTCCCCGGGCAGCCTTGCACGAGGCGTGGCAGATGGCCCGAAGACTTCCAGACGCTCCAGGGAACGCGCAGAAACTGCCGACGGCGACAACGACGCAGACGGCGGCGGCGGCGGGGGAAGCTGCGACGGGCGAGGACAAACGTCAGGGAATAGTACGGCGGGCTGCCAGGCTCGATGGTCCGGCTTCTTTTGAACAATCGGCACTGAGCCCCTGGACCCCTCACGAGGTCATTGACTTCGCCATCCGTGGGGGGCTGCGATCTGCGAACTCGTCCTCGCTTTCAAGGCTTGCTGGGGGGTCAGCGGGGCGCTGCCGCGGGCCGCCCGCAGACCCGGCGGCGCGCCTTCGAGTGCAGGCAGGAAGCAGGGACGCTGGCGGGCGAGCTAGGCCTCGCCTCCTCCCCCTCCTCCTCCTCCTCCTCCTCCTCCTCCTCCCTCCCTCCTCCCCCTCCTCCTCCTCCTCCTAACCTCCTCCTCCTCCTCGCTCGCTCCTTGCACTCACGACGAGCAGGTGTTATCATCTGGCGGTTCCCCGCGGCGGCATGGTTTTCAGGCAGCGCTGCAGATTCAGCGCACGACCGACAGAGAGCAACAGTCTTCGGCCTCCTCCCGCCACTTTCGTCGTCGTTCTCTGCCCCCTGTCACCTTCCCTCTGCTGCTGCCGCGCTGGCGTTTCCCCCCCCCCCCCTGGCCAGGAGATGGCATTCTTTGTCTCTGAGACCTTCCTCAGCGGCTATTCCTAAAAAGGGAGAAAGTAGTTAGCCGCTGAAGGTCTCATAAGACATTGACATGGTGCCATCTGATCCCTTGCGCTGGCGTGCCACCCCCCACGCGCTCTTTTCCTTCCCTTCGTTCCCGCCTCCATGTCCTCCTCACGCCTGGGCCCTCGAGTCTCGTCCTTCTTGTCTTGTCCTTCGAATCCTGCCACGTGAGCGCACCCCGTGCAGCTTGCACGGCATACAACGTCGCCTGCTCGGTCATTGTCTTGGCACGCTTGGGCCAACTCCTCTTGTCACTTGAAGCGAGTGGGTTGGGTACGTCACAGGGTAATTGAATCCAAGATGTTTGAACATCCAGGTTTTCAGTTTGCGATTCCCGAGGGCATCCGACGAGGCAGGGGGAGGGGGAGGAGGGGAAGAAGGGGGGGATAGGAGGAGGGGGAGTTTGGAGAAGAGAGGGAAGAGGAGGGGGAGGGGGAGGAGGGGGAGGAGGAGGAGGAGGAGGAGGAGGAGGAGGAGGAGGAGGAGGAGGAGGAGGAGGAGGGGGAGGAGGGGGAGAAGGACGGGGAGAAGGACGGGGATGAGGGGGGATACGGAGGGGGCAGGAGGACCGCAGGGCACGAAAAGAAAGGGCGCCTTGTGTGCGCGGCACCTGGCCAACCTTCGCAGTACTTGTTCCTCGTCCTCCCTTTGGCGGCGAGCGGTGGGGGCGGGGAAGTGAGAAGCAGAAGGCCTTCTCAGAAGGCGGGGCTTCTCAGAGGCCTCCGGCCTTCTGAGAGGTGTGCCGCGTCTTCGGGGAAGCGCGGACGCCTTCGCATGCGCAGACGGCTCATCTAAAGTTGTTATATCTGCCACAAGTTTCTGCCCGCATTCGGCCAGCAGGGACTCGCGACCCAGGCGCAGAGCCTGCGCCACGCCTTGCCTATGATAAATCGCACGTTGCCCCTCATGCTACGTGCCCTCCTCCTCCTCCTCCTCCTCCTCCTCCTCCTCCTCCTCCTCCTCCTCCTCCTCCTCCTCCTCCTCCTCCTCCTCCTCTGCCTCTTTTTCCTCCTCCTCGTTTGGATACAATACCTCGCTGCGGCCTTCGTGCTTCTGCAGCGTCGGGAAGAAGGCGGATGCTGCTGATGATGATATTGATGATGATGATGATGATGATGATGATGATGAGGAGGAGGAGGAGGAGGAGGAGGAGGAGGAGGAGGAGGAGAAGGAGGAGGAGGAGGAGGAGGCGGATGAGGATGAGGAGGAGGCGGAGGAGGAGGAGCTCTTCGGAGCGAGTCCCTCGCGGTCTGGGTTTCCCTGGGGCCTTTCTGGAGGTCTCGGAGGGGGCCTCGGGAGGCCTGCTGGGGTCCCCGGGCCCCCGGAAGCAGTAGGCAGCAAGTCCCGGGAGGTCGATCGTCGATCCCAGGCCTAGTCGGGCTCAGTGCGGCTTGCTGGCCCCTGAATCGAGCTCACTGGACTGCGGCCATTCCCACGAAGGCCGCCCAGGATTTGCCTCCTCACTTCCTCCCAGGATCAGGGGATCCTGTGGACAAGCCAGGAGAAAGAGGATCCACAACGATCACTTTCCCCTTGTCTGCAGGATCCCCCTTCTGCCCAGGATCCCTCCCGATTCCCCCCCCCCCCCCCCCCCCCCCCCCTGTTGCCTTCCCAGTCCGCCTTCCCCTTCCTCCTCCCGGGGTGGCGGTGCGGCGAGAGCTGGCAGGCGGGTGGCCGGTCGTCCAGTTGGCGACGGCCTGCGACGTTTCCATCACCCGCGGGAACGCGGGCGCCCTGGAGCCAGCGCGGAGCTCGGTCCGCCTCATCTTCTCCTACTTCTCTTGCTACTATTCCTCCTCATCCTCCCTTTTCCTCCTCCTCTTCCCAGACACTCAAACCAACACCTCCTCCTCCTCCTCCTCCTCGGCCTCCTCCTGCTCCGCCTTATGTCTCGTCCTCCTCCTCCTCCTCCTTTTCCTTCTCCTTCTCCTCCTCCTCCTCCTCCTCCTTCTCCTCCTCCTCCTCCTCCTCCTTCTTCTCCACCCCCCTCCTCGTCCTGTTCTCCTCATCATCTCCTCCCCCTCCTCCTCCTCCTCCTCCTCTCCTCCTCCTCCTCCTCCTCCTCCTCCTCTCCTCCAGACACTCGAACCGCCTCCTCCTCCTCCTCCTCCTCCGCCTCCCCCTCCTCCGCCTTATGTCTCGTCCTCCTCCTCCTCCTTCTTCTCCTCCTACTCCTCATCATCATCCGCATCCTGATCCTCATATGATCCTTCCTCTCCTTTCCTTCTCCTCCTCGTCCTCCTCCTCCTCCCTCTTCCTCCTCCCCCCAGACGCTCCAATATCCTCCCCCTTCTTCCCCTCCTTCCTTCCCTCCTCCTCATCCTCCTCCTCCTCCTCCTCAGCATCATCATCAGCACTGCGATGCTATCAGCATCAGCACCATCATCAACAACATCAGCATCGTCGTCATCATCATCACCATCACCATCATCATCGCCATCACCGTCATCTTCATCATCCTCATCGCCATCGTCACCATCAGCAGCATCATCATCAGCATCATCAGTATCCTCCTCATCATCATTATCATCATCAACATCACCATCACCATCATCATCATCAGCAGCAGCATCATCATCATCATCATCATCATCGTCGTCATCATCGCCATCATCATCATTATCATCATCATCATCATCATCATCATCATCAGCATCATCAGCATCATCATCATCATCATCATTATCATCACCATCACCATCACCATCATCAGCATCATATCTCCGCTTCTCGCCATGAAGGGAACGGCTCAGGAACTTGTGTCGCCCGCGTGGCCCCCAGGGCCGTCAAAGAATTGTGTACGACTTGTTTTTTTCGTGGCAGCAGGCGCTTCCGACGACGGCGACGCCCCGGCGGCCGACGGCCGATCAACGCCAGACCGGCGACGAGGGCGAGGGCGAGGGCGTCGACAGCAAGAGAGAGGCAGAGAGAGAGAGAGATAGAGAGACGGCGACAAGGAGTGATTGCGCAGGACGAGGTCGAGGAGCAGGACGAAGAGAACAGGGAGGACGAGGAAGACGTAGGAAGGGGGGCTTGTGGTGCTCCAGCTGTTCATCCTCCTCCTCCTTTCCCTCCTCTCCCTCCTCCTGTTTCTGTTTCGGCCCGATGGCGATGGGGGGATCAGGACATGGGGGGATGAGTATCCGGTACCGTTTTGTTGGGGTACAAATTGTACCTTCTCTGCGGGTTGCAAGTACAAATTGTACCTTCTCCCCCCACGTTAACATTCCCGCACATGTCGCGGACGTTGTCAAAAGTACAATTTGTACCTTGTCTGCGTGGCGTCGGTACAATTTGCACCTTCTCCGTGGGGCGTAGGTACAATTTGTACCTCGGTTGCGCCTCTCTCCCCATTTGGACTTATCCCCCCATTTGCATCCCGCCAACTGTTTGTCTTCATCACGCTTCCGCTCCTCGTCCCCCTGGTGGCTACTGCTACATACTCATGCGATTTGTTGTCCTTGCGTCCTGGCAACTATCTCGCTCTCTCGCCCTTGGGCCCCCTCCACTCCAGAAACGAGGGAGGAGGCAGGGGGCCGGAGGATCGAGGAGGAGGAAGAGGAGGAGGAGGAGGACGACGACGAGGGACGAGGAGCGGGAGGAGGAATGGGGGCACGAAAAGCAGGAAAGGGTGTGCACGGAGCCGGGAGGGGAGGAGGAGGGACGAGGCTGCAAGACAAGGAGGATAGGGAAGAGAAGGGGGAGGGAGTGCTGGGAGCCCGGGGGGGAGGGGAGGAGAGGAGAGGGAGGGAGGAGGGAGGTGGACAGGAGGGGGGGAGCGGAGGGGGAGGAAGGGCGGGGGAGGGCGGGGGGAAGAGAGGGGATGGGGAGGAGGAGAGAGGAGGGGAGGAGAGAGGATGGGGAGCGGGAGTTGGAGGAGAGAGGAGGGGAGAGGGAGGGGCAGGAGGAGCGTGAGGAGCAGGAGGGGAGGGATGGCGAAGGGTCCGGGAGCTTGGCGTGCGAGGTGCAGACAGGCGCCGTGCGGCTGCTGGCCGTGGGGTCGTGGTACGAGGCCGTCCTGGACACCAGGCCGGCCACCACGAGCAGAGCCGATAAGCACGACGCCCTCCCGGCCCTCCTCGCCTTTCGTCCTGTCAGAGCCCCGAATCATCAGGGGTAACTCGGGTCAGGGTTAACTCGAGTTCGTTTTTCGGGAATCCGAACCCGAGTTACCCCGGGCCCGAGTTACCCCGGATATCTCGGGCGTCCAGAGCCCCACACCATCAGGGGTAACTCGGGTCAGGGCCAACTCGGGTTCCTCTTGCGGGTATCCAAACCCGAGTTACCCCGGACCCGAGTTACCCCGGATAACTCGGGCGTCCAATCCTGCTGCCTGGTCCGCAGGCCTTGTCGTCCCCTGTCGGCTCCGTCCGATGCGCAGCGTCCACCTCAATCCGACCGATCCGCTCCGGCGTCGTCGTCGGCCAGCCCGGTGCGACGCGACTCCGGTGCTCCGAGGGTGCAGTGCGGCCCGATGGTGGCACGGCGTCGCTGCGCGTCATGGCGCAGACGATCCGGGCGAGGAGGAGGAGGAGGAGGAGGAGGCGGAGGAGGAGGAGGAGGGAGGGAGGGAGGGAGGGAGGGAGGGAGGGAGGAGGAGGAGGAGGAGGAGGGGGAGGGGGAGGAGGAGGAGGAGGGGGAGACGAGCTGGCGTGGTTCCGGCTCCGTGGTGGCGCGGCCCGATTCGGTGCACGCTCCGATCCGATGTGACGTCTCAGGTCGACGCGGACTGACCCCGGCGCTCCAGCGACTCGGCCTTTGTAGCGGGGCGGACGCCCCGCCCTCCGGGCGGACCCACGACCCCCCGATGTCAGGAGGGAAAGAAACACACAGACACAATTAATCGGCGATTCCCCAGAAAATATGGGGAACTATGGGAAGTGGGGGGGGGGGGGGGAGACAACAACCCAGAAAATATGGGAAAGCATGGGGGATATGTTTATTTGTGTGTATGTACTTGTGTGTTCTGGGGCCCCTTCAGAGTGGTCCTGGCAGGTGTTCTTTGCCCTCGTCCTCCCCCATCTCCGAGGCCCTCGCTGGAGGACATCCTGGAGGAGATCCTCTCTCATACCTTCCAATCCCTTCTTCCTCGTCCCGCCTCGTTCTCCATCCTCCTCCTGCTCATAGTCCTTGTCTTCCGTGAATTCGAATTGGGCAGGTCGGTCATTTGTTTGGTTGGTTCGTTCATTTGCGGGCTGGTGGGTTGGTGGACTTGATTGATTGGTTGGTTGGTTGGCCACCTTGCTGGTTGGGCGAGCAGCTGGTTGGGTGGTTGGATGGTCAGTTGGTTGGCTGGGATGTCGGCTAGTTGATAAGTTGGTTGGTCTGTCAAGTCGTGGGTTGGCCAGTTGATTGACTTGTTGGCTGGTTGGCTTGTTTTCTCCTTCCCTTCCACTCCCATCTTCCCACTGGCTTTTACTGTTGTCATCCTCGCTCTGTATCCCCGTCCCTTTTCAGTGTAGTTGTCAACGCCTCCTGTCATTATCCTTCCGCGTTTCTCCTCCTCCATCCTCCGCCTCCCTTTGCAGATTATCCAAGTACGCACATGTATGCTCCATTTCTGAAGTGTTGGATGTAATTCCTATCCCCCTCCTTACCTCTCTCATCGTCATCCTCCTTACCGTTGCCACTTCCCCTTCCTCGCTATTCTTCCCTCCCCTCACCAACGATCTCCTCTTCCCTGCTGATCATCTGCTTGTCTCGTCTTCTTGTCCTCCCTCCTCCTCCTCCTCCTCTTCCTCCTCCTACTTGTTCCTCCCTCCCCCTCCGTCTCACCTTCTTCCCCCTTTTCATCCGTCCCCCCCTCCCCTTCTAATCATCCTCTCTCCCCTTCCGTGCCTTCCTAGCGGGATGAGGGAGGGTAAGGGGGAAAAGAAGGAGAGGGCGGGGGAGGAGGAATACAGTGGAGTCCCGTGCCAAGCAACACCCTGCTTGCCTCAAGGGTGCCATGGGTTTCTTGGGCTTCAATGCCTTTGCTATGACAAGCGTGACGCTCCAAGTCAAAATTCAATGGACGTCCTGGGGTCTCAGGGTTGGGTGTCTTGTGGAAGGTTTCTTGTGGACTGGCCTCCACCGCAGGAGGAGAGGAGGAGGAGGAGCAGGAGGAGGAGCAGGAGGAGGAGGAGGAGGAGGAGGAGGAGGAGGAGGGGGAGGAGGAGGAGGAGGGCCCGGGGAGCCCGCGGCCCGCGCCACCCGGGGCAGGTTGTCAGTCGCGGATCGTTTTCTGGACGGTGCCCCGGGGCTCCGAGAGACGGTGGGCCCCGGGCGCCGAGAGGCGGCAAACCCGAGAGGCCCGTCGAGGTTCCCGTGGGCGACGCTGGGAGGCCTCGGGAGGAGGACTGCGCTTACTCCCCCCCCACGCCGCCTCTCTGGTGGCAGCTCCTGGGAGGTGGACTGCAGCGTGTGCGTGTGCGTGTGCGTGTGCGTGTGCGTGTGCGTGTGCGTGTGTGCGTGTGCGTGTGTGCGTGTGCGTGTGTGCGTGTGTGCGTGTGTGTGTGTGTGTGTGTCTGAGCGTGTGTGTGCGTGTCTGTGTGTGTGCCTGTGTGTGTGTCTGTGTGTATGTGATGTCCGTGCGTCTGTGTGTGCGCGTGTTTTGTCTGTGTGTGAGTATGTGTGTGAGTCTGTGTGTCTGTGTGTGTCTGTGTCTGTGTCTGTGCCTGTGCCTGTGTCTGTGTGTGTCTGTGTGTGTCTGTGTGTGTCTCTGTGTGTCTGTTTGTGTGTGTGTATGTGCGTGTGTGTGTGTGTCGTTGTGTGTGTGTGTGTGTGTCTGTGTGTGTGTCGCTGTGTGTGTCTTTGAGTGTGTGTGTGTGTGTGCTTCTGTGTGTGCGTGTCTGTGTTTGTCTGTGTGTGTATCTGTGTGTGTGTGTCTGCGTTTGTCTCTGTGTGTCTGTGTGTGCATGTGTGTGTGTCTGTGTGTGTGTGTGTCTGTGTGTGTGTGTCAGTGTGTCTGTGTGTGTCTGTGTGTGCATGTGTGTGTCTGTGTGTCTGTGTGTCTGTGTGTCTGTGTGTGTTCGTCTGTGTGTGTGTGTCTGTGCGTGCTGCAGGAACCCTGTGCGTGCTGCTTCCCTCCCGTGCCCTGTGCAGGACCGGCTCCGTGGCCGTGCGGGCTCTGCTCTGCTCTGCCACCGAGACCTGCCAGCTGTTGCCTCCTCCCTTCCCCACTCCCCTGAAGTCGCGGGCGTGTCCCCCTGCAGGGGGATTTTCGACGAAAAGTTAAAAAATACCCAAAACTAATCAAAACACAGTCCAAAAATAGTCTGGGGACTATTTTTAAGATATGTCTTGACCTTTTTGTTGCATGTTTTGAATATCTTTTATTTGTCGTCGACAAGCCCCCTGAAATCGGGCGTGTCCCCCTACAGGGGGATTTTCGACGAAGAATGAAAAATACCCCAACAATAATCCAAAAATTCTCCAAAAGTAGCCTGGGGATTTTTTTTTTTGTATTTCTTGACCTTTTTGGGATATGTTTTGGATCTGTTTTTCATTTTTCGCTGAAAATCCCCCTGTAGGGGGACAGGCCCGACTTCACTCTCCCCCCCCCCCCTTCGGGTGCTGCCCGGGGTGGCCTCGGCCCCGGGTGGCCCCCCTGCGCTCTCCGGGGAGGCCGAGAGGTGGCCTTCCCAGCGCCCCCCCCCCCCGCGCGGGGCCCTAATTAGAGGGCTCGCTCCACCGGGGCACGATCCTTCGGACCCCCCCAACGTCATTCGGCCACGCGCAGAGGAGGGGGGGAAAGGGGGAGGGGGGAGGGACTCTCTTCGAAGCACCCCTGCTTCTCAGAAGGCGCCCCCGCGCGCGAGGCCCCCGCGCGCGAGGCCCCAGAGGGCTTCACCGGGGCACGATCCTTCGGACCCCCAACGCCAGTCGGCCACGCGCAGGGGGGGGGAATGGTGCCAGCTGCTGGCGCCGCTCCCTGTCGTGATTTCTGGCTTCCCAGCGGGGGCGTCGTCCTCGTCCTCCTCGTCGTCGCGTCAGCACGCTGGGGGGAGGGTCTGCGGCAGGGCAGCAGACATATAGCCGCACACTTCGGCAGTGGTCAGCCACGCGCAGAGGGTGGGGTGGAGGGGGGAGGGACTCTCTTTGAAGCACCCCTGCTTCTCAGAAGGCGCGGGCCTCATCTGTAGACGTCTGAGAAGCAGCCTCTTTCTGAGAGGCCCTCCACCCCCTCCCTCCACCCCCTTTGGTGCGCGCCGCCACGCCATGCTTGCTTCACGACCTCGACCCTCAGAGGTCATGACCCACTTCCGGTGACCAGGTTTTCATCCCGAGCCGTGTTCACAGTCCTGGGGCCCAGCGGAGGCCCCGAGAGTCCGAGGCAAAAAAAGGCGCGATTTCTGCAAGTGATCGTTTTCGTATCCATTGGTTTGCCGATCGGCGCGGGCCCTCGCACCCCCTCCCCCCACCCCCATGGAGAAGGTCTTGGCTGTTCTGGGCGCCTGTTTCAAGCCGGTGGAGCCCCCCTTCCAGGACGCACTTTTGCAAACAGTCGCGCTGAGCAGAGGTCCGGAGCCAGACCCCCCCCCCTCCCCCACCCCCTTCCGCCCAATGTCGAAACGCCGATTAAAAAGCACCAAGGAGCTGCTTGTTTTATACATACATACATATGTATATATATATATATATATATATATATATATGGGTGTATGCATAAATGTATGCATCTATACATACATATACACATATACACATATCTGAATCTCAATATTGAAAGACAAGAAAAATGAGCGCTCAGCCCGACGCGAGGTGGTTGGGGTTCTGGGCCGGGGCCGCCACCTCCAGCAAGCTTCGGGCCCCCCGCCGCCCGTGCCTCCCCGGCAGTCGCTTGGCCGTCGGGGTGCGCTTCCGCGTCTGCCTCGACCTGGACGGCCCGGGCGGGCTGCCCCTGGGGGACACGGGGCTCCAGGCGGGGCCCCCGGGTGCGGGAGGGTGCGGGAGGGGGGGGAGGAAGAGCGGGACGAAGAGAGGGAGGCGTGGAGGAGCGAGGGGCGATGAGGAGAGGGAGCAGGAGGCAGGAGGGGAGGAGCGAGGAGGGGAGGGGGAGTGAGGGGAAAGGGTCGAGTCAGCCAGGTCGAGCGAGTCGGAGAGCATCGCCTACCCCCACTTTGCCTTTCACCATGTAAGAGCCATGTGTGGCACAGCTTGCGATTGCGATTGGAACGCGCTCCCACCTCGCAAACCGAAGGCGCTTGCGCGCGACCCCGCTTCCGACGACTTGGCTATATGGAAACCGCGCGGGCCGCGCAGGGGCGGGAGCGGCAAATTGTCCTCCGATGGACGCGGCGAAGATGAAGCATTTGCCGCGCTGGCAAAGCACTGCCACTTTTGCTCACAAGCTGCGCGGCGCTTGGGCGAGGTCGGCATCTCGCCCGCCCTCGCGCGGCCCCGCTGCCGCTGTCGCTGTCCTGCGGTTTGGCGGGCGAGAGATGCGCCGCGCCCGCGCGAGAGCGCAGCTTCCGAGCGCGACGTGCGCACGGAGCCCGGGCGAGGGCGACGAGGCGCCTCTCGCGCGGGCGTCTCAAAGGTGGCGAGCGCAAGACATGCGCCGCGCCGAGGCGGGAACGCCGCTTTCGGGCGACATCTGCGCGGCGCCGGGGCGAAGGCGATGTGTTCTCGGCCGCGCGCGCGGCAACGAGGTGGAGTGCGGAGGAGGTGCGCCTCGCCCAAGCGGGAGCGGCATGCTTTCGAAGAGTGAGCGCAGCGCTGGGGCGAGCGCAACGTGTCGGCCTTGCGCCTGGGGCGCGCGTCCCTTTCCATCCCTGCCACGCCTCTGGTACCTTGGGCGGCGCAGTGTTCACAGCGCAACGAAGAGCACAAGTGCTGTGTGGCCAGCCGGGTGGCAGAGCAGGAGCATGTACCCAAAAGGAATACACATATATATATATATATATATATATATATAAATAAATAAAGGATCGGGAGGAGCAGCAGGCTGAGGGTACGTGGTGATGCCGAGGAGGGAGGAGGGGAAGGCGGGCTTCGACCCATTGAGAGGATCCTGGGGAGTCCAGGCCTCGTGGGTCTTGGTGAGTTCTGCGGGGTCCTGCCTCCTCGGGCTCCTCCGCCTCCTCCCCTTCGCGCGGCATGCCCATCAAGCCTCCAAGTGCCACCGCGGTGAACTGCTCCGTCGGACATCTGTTCTTCATGGAGATCTGCAGCACCGGGTTTTGACCCGACGCGTCGGCGCCATCTGGCGCTTTGGCCGCGCCCTCTCCTTCTCCTCCTCCTCCTCCTCCTCCTCCTCCTCCTCCTCCTCCTCCTCCTCCTCCTCCTCCTCCTCCGCCTTTTCCTTCCCCTCCGCTTGGTTGGCAAGGAGGGACAGAGGAAAGGACCAGGAGCGTCCGAGGTTGGACGGAAGGGCCAGAACAACTGTGCCAACTGTGACAGGGGGCAGGGGAAGGGGGAAGAGGCGAGAGAAGAGGGCAGGGGGAGGGGGCGCAGAACGGCACAGAGGGGGCAAGAGGGGAAGAGGGAAGGGAAAGGGAAGGAAAGGAAGGGGTGTGGAGAGCACGGAATGCGGAATGGAGACAACGGAATGCCGCAACCGTTGGCGGAATGCATTCGAAGGAAAGGAAATGAAGTTCTCGCCAGATGCCCCCCCCAGACACCCCCAAGCACGAAGCGCGCCATGCTGGCGGAGTTGCCTGCAGAAGGTGGCAGGGGGAATACGACCTCAGACCTCTGGCGTCGTCGTTTTCGGAGTGTTCGGGCAGAGCATGATCCTCAGCAAATCAAGCAAATCTCGGTGCTCGGGCACTCGGGAGACAAGACACCGCAGGCCAGCGGGGGGCAAGTAAGGCGGGTCAGTGCTGACGGGGGGAAGCCAATCCCATCCAATTTCCTCTTGCTGACCCTTGTTTTGTAGCCACGTCGTGCCTGCACCACATCAGCACAAGTATTCCTCATCCTCCACATCCTCTTCCCCCTGCATCCTCCTTCTAACTGTTTCCTCACCACTCTTCATTCGCTTGTTTCGCCTCATATGTGTCTTGCTCTCACTCCTCATCATCGCGTCGCCCTCCTCATCATTCTCCTCTTCGTCCTCCTCGTTCACACCCTCCTCCTCTCACTCCTTCTTTTCCTCCTCCCTCCCTCCCTCCCTCCGTCCCTTATGTGTCGTCCCTCGTTGGCCTCCTCCTCCTCCTCCTCCTCTTCCTCCTCCTCCCCCTCCTCCTCCTCCTCCTCCTCCTCTTCCCCTCCTCCTCCTCCTCTTCCCCTCCTCCTCCTCCTCCTCCTCCTGTTCCCCCTCTTCAGCCATCGTCGCAGCTCCGCCCTCGCCGCTCCCCCACGCGCCGGCCCTCGTGGCCGCGGGGCGTGCCGAGGTCCTGGTCACCCCGTTTCACTGCAGCGGGCAGCGCCGCGTCGCCTCCGGCGCGAACATGCTCGCGGCGCCGGAGCAGGCCGTGGAGCTGAAGTGCGCCACGTCATCCGCAGGCACGTCACAGTTTGTCACCACCCACCAAACCACCCCAACCCAACCCGAAGGCCCAAATTTATCCTCGATTTCCAGTGGGGGGGGGGGTCGGGGAACGTTGAAAAAACACATGGTATCCGTACCCCCCCCCAACCCGAAGTTCGGGTCAAATTTGGGTCTTCGGGTTGGGTTGGGGTGGTCTGGTAGGTAGTCAGTTTGGCAACACACAGGGAGGAGGAAAGGGAGGAAGGGGAGGAGGATGAGGAGGCACAGCGGGCGAGGGGGGGCTCTGGAGGAGGGAAGAGGGGCGTGCGAAGGGGAAGAGGAAGAGGAGGAGGGAGGGACGGACGAGGGGGGGGGAGGAGGGAGGCGGCAGGAATGGGGCAGGAGGGAGGTCAAGCGGTGGTGAGGAGGAGGATGTTGAAATAAACCCTCCCTCCAAGCTCCCTTCCCATAGGCCCCATACATGGATTCATTTCCACTGAGGGAAGAGTCCCATTGGGAGACAACCGTTTGAAAATCCTGAAGCGTGCCAAAACACCATTCTGAGGACTTCAACCCACCAATCAACGTGATTGTTGCTTCTTGACGATTCTGAATCGTACCAAAACACCACTCCTAGGACTCCCACACCACGAATCAATGTACTTGATGCGCCCTGACAGTCGTGATGCACTCCAAAACACATCTGCGAGTACGTTATACACGAGAGTCTGTGGAACCCTTGTTGTCATTTGTATACGGATGTGCGCGGCGCTAAGTCGAGATCCACATCTTGAGAACGACCCGCTCTCGTGCCGTGAAGCTCTTACATTTGTTCGACGAATGTGCGCGGCGCTAGGGCGAGAGGCCCATTTTGACATTGTGTTGAAACGAATGTGCGCGGCGCTAAGACGAGAGCCACATTTTGAAGACGGTTCGTCCTCAATCCGTGAAGCTCCTGCGTTCTGTTAAGACAAAAGTGCGCGGCGCCACGGGGAGAGCCACATGTTCAAAATGACCCGCTCTTCATCCGTAAAGCCCTTCCGTGTTTGTCAAGCGAATGTGCGCGGAGCAAGGGCGAGAGCCACATTTAGAAAACCACCCGCCCTCCATCCGTGCATATGTTGCGAACGTGTTAGCTTCACGGCCATTCGTGGTGAGGATGAGGAAGTCTCAAACGAAACGCCCCGCCCGGCCTTCGACTGACCTCGGAGTGCGACAGGGAGGAGTCATTTAGAACGAACGGGAATGGAGGCGGAGAAGAGGAGGAGGAGGAGGAGGAGGAGGAAGAGGAGGAAGAGGAGGGACGAGGGGCGATAGGGGCTGAGGGCGGAGCGAAAAAGGGAGGGAGGGAGGCTGGCGGAGGGACAGACGGGAGAGTCGAGAAGGACGGGCGAGGGAGAGAGGAGGGAGGGCGTCAGGGGGGGGGGAGGGGGCAAAAGCACAGGCCGTGGCCCGACAGCTGGGCCTGCCGGCGCCCAGGGCACGCGCAGGGCACATCGCGTGCGGCGCGCGGCCGGCCGCGCGCCGGGGCAGAGGCCACTCTCCGGCCCCGGGCAGAGGGCGCCGGGGCCGCTGTCCTGGACGCCCGAAATGGGCACTCCAGATTTCTTAATAAAAGGGAGGGGGTCTGGACCCTCCAAGACGAGCCATTTCAGACCTCCCCCGTGGGAGAACCCTCCAAAACATCGTCCCCAGACCCCCCAGGCCCTCCAAGATAGCCTGGAAAAGACCCCCCCCGAAATGAGACCCCCCTCCCTTTATTACGAAATCTGGAGTACGAAAAAAATGGGTACACTGCCCAACAGCAGTTCCTGTGCATTTTGAACAGGAGTCGCTGTCCACGCCGCCGCGGCCCGTGTCCATTCGAGGCAGAAGGCCGCCTGCCCAACAGCGGGCCGCTGTTGGTTTGGGACAACATTTGTTGTTGGGCACTGTGCCCATTCTTTCCGTACCCATTTCGGGCGTCCAAAGCTGTCGGGCAGCCGTGGGGCTCGGGAGCCGCCCCCGGGGGTCGTCGCGGCCACTTCGGCGCTCGCGTTAAGTCGGGCCTGTCCCCCTACAGGGGGATTTTCGACGAAAAATAAAGAATGCCCAACAAATCATCCAAGAATAGTCCAAGAACAGTATGGGGACGATTTTTCTGCATTTTCTGACCATTTTGGAGTATTTTTGGGGTGCTTCTTATTTTTCATAGAAAATCCCCCTGTATGGGGACACGCCCGACACAAGGTTCGCGGCGCAGGTCGTCGCGCTGCCGGCAGCTTTGGGGCGGGGGGCGCGGGGCTGCCCTATTGGGAGAGCCGGCGCGAGGAGGGAGCGGCAGAGCAGCGCACCGCGATCTCGGCCGCGTCGGAAGCGCCCTGGTCGAGGGAGAGGGGCGGCGGCCACGCGCAGGAGGGGGGTGGGGAGGAGGAGGAGGAGGAGGAGGAGGAGGAGGAGGAGGAGGAGGAGGAGGAGGAGGAGGAGGAGGAGGAGGAGGAGGGGGGAGGGGAGGGGGAGGGGGAGGGGGGGGGGAGAGGACAAGCTGGGTGCGCTCGCGTCATATCTGACATCCTACCCCTCCCTCCCATCCCTTACCAGGGCGTAGATCCCCTCGCTACTCGCACAGTCGGATGTCGAGCAGGGCAATGGTCCCGAAAGGGTACGCGAGGCATTGTAGAGCACGGCACGGCATGGCGTAGAAGAGCACCGCAAAGCGCAGCATCAACCTAGCATTGCATTGCATGTCGTGGCATGGAACGGGAAATGACGCCAGCGCTGGGGGAGGGGGGAGGGCTTCCCAGAGGGACGCCTGCTTCTCAGAAGGCGCGGGCCTCACATGTAGATGTAAGGCCGGCGCCTTCTGAGAAGCAGCCTCCTTCTGAGAAGCCCTCCCCCCTGCCTCCCCCGCCCCCTTTGTGCGCGCCGCCAAGAGTGGAGAGGCAGGAAGCCCTGCCAGGCAGGTGCAGTAGCAGAAAGAAGATGAGGGCGACCATCCGCTCGAGATCGATCTTCACCACTCTGCCCCGGGAGCTGTGGTTCAGCTGCCCCTCTTGGCAGGGGATCAGCTGACCCCGTAGACGCGCCAACGGCAATGTAGATCACGGCGATGCAGGTTTCGGCAGTGCAGGTGGGACTGGTCCGTGGCCAAGCCAAGTGTAGGACATGGTGGTTTGCGCTTTCCGACAATTCGCTGCGCCGTTCTCGCTCGATGCATTCGCACAGTTGAAATGTAGGAAAGTGTGGTTCGTGATTTCCTGTCAGTTGTTCTGCGCGAGCTCGGTGTCACATACATCAGATTCCCAACATCGCCGTTAAGCAACATCGCCGTTAGCGCGGCCTTGGTGACCTCTCGCAGGCCCGACGACGGGCCTGTTCCTCGACCGGGGGAGGAGGAGAGCGAGGTTGCACTTCAAAGGGTTAAGAATCACCCGACCCCCACTACAGGAGGAATATTAATCTAAAAATTGTAAGAAAAATAGTCTGGGGACGATTTTGTTTTGATCTACTATTTTTGGCTATTTGGGAGCCAAAAATCAAATTTCGGTGATTTGGGAGCTATTGTTGGCTATCTTTGGTTATTTCGAATCTGTCCTCCAAAATCCGCCTGTAGGGGGACACGCCCGACCTGACCGTAACTGGCATCCGCCATCGAGCTCCCTGTTCGTTCACTGACCGAAGGATTGCAAAAAAACGAAGGATTGCAAAAAAAAAAAAAACCAAGGATTGCAAAAAAAAAACCCTGGATTGCAAAAAAAGGATTGCAAAAAAAACCCTTCGGGGTTTTTTTGCAATCCTTCGGGGTTTTTTTGCAATCCTGGTTTTTTTGCAATCCCCTGTCCTGTGCGACTCCCTCCCCGGGCGCGTCGCCTCGAAGGGCTTCGCGGGAGCTGGGGGGAGCCGATTGTGAGGCCGACCCCTCCGACCGCTCGTGGAGTGTTGTTTGGCGGATCTCTAAGGGCTCCCTCGAGGGCGCGAAGTTATTCGCGCTTCGCGGTCCTCGTTCCTTCTCCCCCTCCTCCTCGTCCTCCTATTCTCCCTTTGGGAGGGCGGCGCGAGAGCGCGAAGTTATTCGCGCTTCGCGCTTCGCGCAGCGCGAAGCGCGAAGTTGGGAGCCCTAGATCTCGGTCGTTTCGGGGGGTCTCCGAGCATCGGAAGTCGATAGACCTGCCCTGGCGCGTCGATTCGCGAATTGGCCGTCTTCGGTCCGCGAGGGGGCGCCGCGGCCGTCGTTTTTTTGCGGGTCCGGGTGCGTCGGTTTCGGTTCCAGACCGTTTTCACGAAAGGGTGGAGTACAGTCGGGGCCCTGAAGAAGGAACCCTTTTGGTTGGGGGGGGCTCCACGTTCCTTAAGTGTTTCACAGCTTGCCTCAGGTGTTCCTTATGCATTCGACAGGAAATCGAAGGTCAACTTATGGAAAAACGGGGCCTCGTTCCTTATGTAGGGTTCCTTAGGTCAACGCCCCGACTGTACTAAAGGGAGGTTTGTCCACCGCCGAGAGCAGTCAAAAAAAACCTGCTCTGCCAGCCTGTGCGGCGGCCGTCGGCTACCTGGCGCCGGACTGTGGCCGGCCGGCGCAGAGGCTCGCCGTGGCGCCCTCGGGAACGACAGGACACGACCTCTTTTCATTGTTGACGTGTGCTCCTCCTCCTCCTCCTCCTCCTCCTCCTCCTCCTCCTCCTCCTCCTCCTCCTCCTCCTCCTCCTCCTACTCCTCCTCCTGTATTTATTTATGCCGAGGGAGCAAGTGTTGGCACGCCGCCTAGGGCGGCAAGAGGCTCGCCGCGGCGCCTTCGGGAACGACAGGACACGACCTCTTTTCATTGTTGACGTTCTTTACACCCTAGGCGATGCGTAAGAAAACTTAAGTTTTCGTCCAGAGTCTCGCTTATTCTGAACTTTTCAATGCAATTCCCAAGATCTTGATAGAAGTTCTGGGTTTTGTTCAAGTTCTGAGACTATGAATGTCTGAACCCATGATTTCTTAAGCATTTCGCAGGGTGTATGCCGAGAGAGCAAGTGTTGGCAAGCCGTCTAGGGCGGCAAGAGCCTCGCCGTGGCGCCTTCCGGAACGACAGGACGCAATTTCTTGTCACTGTTGACGTGTGCTCTTCTTTTTTATGCCGAGAGAGCCAGTGTTGGCAAGCCGTCTAGGGCGGCAAAGCTGGTATGCGGCCAGGCCATGCTATTCCCAGCGCGCCGAAGACGTTCCCCCGACAGCAGCCCAGGTTGCCCATGGGCACAGATTGGCCACCCGATGTCACCGGGTTCTCTTTGGACAGAAATGGTACTGTACATAGCGCCCCGTATGGATCCAGAGTTGATTTGGACAGCGCCGCGCGAAAAAAATGATGCTATCGCACCAGCGTTCGCTGATTTCTCTTGGAAGAACTCCCGATTGTGCGCGGCATTTTGTCTGCCCCATCGTATGAGCAGCGCTCGAGAAACCAAAATAATGCCCAGGCCCAACCGTTGCGCAGCTTTGTCATGGAAGTTGCGCTCCCGCATGAGCGCGGCACAGCTCGTATCATGAATCCTCTGCGAAGGCGGGCAACGCACCGGCAAGCGGAATGCTGGCTTCGTTTCAGATCTCGGGTTCTCCCCCCAGGTTGCGCTCCCGCCTTGGCGCGGCGCACGTCGCTCCTTCACCAGGCTGTCCGAAGCGGGTCGCGCGTGCGCAAGCGCCTTCTGGCCTTCCGCTCGCCCGCTGGAGGCGCGCGCCGGTTCCATCGCCAGCGACGCTGACACGGATTCGTATGCCGTGGCGGGGAGAGTGGCAGCCGGCCGAGCCCGCTGACGCGCTCGAGCAGGCCGGCTTCGCTCCTGCTCCCGCTCGCACTCAGAGCAGGTTCCACACGCATGCGATCCCGCCTCCATCGAAGTCCACAGGAGTTGCACGAAGCAATGCTTGGGGCCCACGCGCTCGCATCCGTGCAGCTGGAGTTTTACGATGTTACCTCGCTCGTTACTCAAACGCATCGTAGAAGGAACGTTGCAGGCCAGACCTTCACATTGGTATCTTTAAAATGGGCTCCGCCATTTCGCACGACTGGTGCTAGCGATGACGGGGCGCTCAAGCCAGAATTTCCCCACACCCTGCTTGCAGCGTTCTTCTCATCTGCTCTCCGATGCTTGTACCCTGGATCGCCTGCGTCGGGCTAGCCCCCACGAGGGGCAGTGGACTCCTCTTACCTCTTGGATTGGCCTCCTCTCGCCCCCCGCTCTTGACCTCCCGTCCCCTCGCGCATGCTTGCGTCGCTCCCTCCTGCAATGCAGAGTTTGACCTCTGGCGATGGCTGCACCCTTCGACTTCCTCTCGCCGCCGCTCACCTGGCACCTCGCAAGAGCTTGGCAGGAGCAGGAGCAGCAGGAACCGCGCGAGACGGAGCCGGAGGAGGAGCGGGAGGAGCAGGAGAAGCAGGAGAGAGGAGCCGGAGCATGAGCGGGAGGAGCGGAAGCAGCAGAGGAAGCAGAAGGAGCGGGCCGGTTGGCGTGGAGGTGCCGCCGGCGCTGTGCGCGTCAGGAGCGTCTGCTGGTGCTGCCCGCGCTGTGCGAAATTGCGGCCAGCGGTGTCGGCGTCGGTGGCCTCGCCAAGCACGTCCAGCGCTCGTTCCCCCTCCCTGCTGCCGCATCGCGTCGCCCGACAAAGCAAGCGGCCAGCGGTGTCCGTGTCTCCCGCATCTCCCGACGTGTCCAACCTGTTCTGGCACCTGTGGCTCGACTCTTCCAATCTCCTGGGCGGCAGCCGACTTATCTGGCCGGCTGCTTCTCTCTGCGCTTGCGTGCGGAGTTGACCCTTGCAGGTCCAGACAACATTGCCGTCGAATTCTCACCACCCGCGGCCATTTTCTAGGGGAGCGAAGAATGGAATTAACATAACAATTCGAAGGTCCGCGCGGATTTCTCGGATCCGCGCTGGACCCCCCTGGCGGCACCTCTGGTGCCGCTCTTGGCGCGCTCCGCGCGCCAGGGAGGGGGGTCCAGCGCCGAACCGAGAAATCAGCGCGGACCCCCGAGTTTTTATGTTTATGTCAGTCTTCGGCCCCCTATACCAGACGTTCATACAGAGCCCCAACACTGCCAAGGCGGTCAGCGAATTGCCTTGCTACCGGAGCTCAAGAGGGGATTGAATGGCCGCGGTGTCTCCAGGCCTGCGCCTGCCAGGTCTGGTGTCTGGTGTCGTGATCACCACAGTGTGCGCTGCTAAACGGGATTTTTCTTTCTCGGAGAAACTTGCATCCTCAAGGCCCACATAGTAAGGACGGGCAAATCTTCCCAAGGGTACCCTTGCATCCTTGCCTCCTCGGTCCATCCTTGTGGCCGCTTCTGCTGGCCAGCCTCGCTCGAAAAAGCGTGAACGTTGCCCTCCAAGGCCCCTGCATCCTGTCCGCGCATCCTGATTACCCATGTCCACTGCATGCAAACCCACCCCTGGATCCCTTCGCATCCTCAGGACCCCGTCCCTCAGGACCCCGCCCCCCGGAGGTCCGAAGCCGTGCTTTGTTCCACGCGGGGCCCCCGCGGGAGCCTCGACCCGTTCCCCAGGACGGGTTCTCCATCCCGATCCGCGCCTTGGCGGTCCCAGGGCCTTGGCGAGGCCCCCCAGAGGCCGAAGATTGCGAAGAACGCCAGCCTCTTGATTTTTCCAACGCGTTGGACTTCTGTCCCAGACAGGATCGCGCCGAAAAAAAATTAGGACGGAGGTTTTCGCCGTTTTCGCCGTTCTCGTAAAAAAGTTAGGACGGAGGTTCTCGCCGTGCTCGGCCTCTAGAGGGACCCTCGCCGGGCCCCGTGGCCGTCAGAGAACGCCTCGGGATGGAAAACCCCGCCCCCGGGGAAAGGGTCGGGACTTCCAGGGACGCCGTCTTGAAAAGGTCAGGACGTCGCATGTCTGGGCTGGGCCGCTGCCCCGCCCGGGCGCTCCTCCGCCCCCTGGCGCCCGGAGAGAGGAGCTCGGCCCCCCCCCCCCCCCCCGCCGGCCGCCCCCGTGCGCGGCAGCGGGCCCACGCGTCTGGGCTTCAGTCGGGCACGTCCCTCTACCGGGGGAGATGCTCCAACACAGTTGACAAGATTCGTCTGGGAACGCGCTTCTCGGGGTACTGGTTTTTCCCACCATCCTGTGGTGTTGGGTCCTCGTTTTGGAGCAACAGCGCCCCGCGTCCTTCTCCTCTCCTCCTCCCCCCTCCTCCCTCCTCCCCCTCCTTGCCTCTGCTCTCGGCACACCTCTCACACGCTTCGTAGCCCTATAGGGAGCTCCACCGAAGGCCCCAGTAGGGGGGGGGGGGGGGGGGCGCATGCGGTTCCCCCACCCAGGGCAGCGCTTCGTGGCCCCAGTGGGGGGGCCCGCATGCGGGCCCCCACCCAGGGCAGCGCTTCGTGGCCCCATAGGGAGCTCCGCCGATGGCCCCAGTGGGCGGGGGGTGGTCGCGTACGGTTCCCCCACCCAGGGCAGCGCTTCGTGTGCCCATAGGGAGCTCCACCGAAGTCCCCAGTGGGGGTGCCCGCATGCGGGCCCCCATCCCCCCTTTGCGCGCGCCCCCCCCCCCCCCCCCCTCTCTGCCTTCCCCCTCTGAACGCCAACGGTCTAGAGCCAGCTGCCAGGTCCACGACACGCAACGGCGTGACCGTGGCAACCAAGTCAAGACCTGCAGTGGAGGCCCATGCCAAGAGACACCATTCATGCCTGCAGGGTGCCCTGGGTTTCAGTTTCAACGTTTTTGCTATGGAAAGCATTACGTCCCAACATCAGAAATCAACGGACTCCCTGGGGTCTCAGGGTTGGGTTTCTTGTGGAAGGTTTTTGCGGTCGGGCCCCTATTGTACACTTTGTCCAGGTTCGGTCAGGGTTCCTGCCCTAGGAAAGCTAGCCACACTTCTTGGCGCTTCGCGGGACCAAGTCAGCCTATCCAAGAGCAGCAAACGCCGGGCGAGCTGCCGTGATCAGGGATGTACCGCGTCCTGGTTGGGCGGCTGCCAGTCCTTGCCCGCCGTGGCCTGCGGTGCTTGTAGTCTTAGGTCGGGCGTGTCCCCCGTACAGGAGGAATGTGCAACCGCAGTCAAATATAGTCAGGGGACGATTTGTCGACTATGTTTGATCATGCGTTTGATTAATAGTTAGTTTCCATAATGAAAAATTATTCACTGCGTGGAGCTCCCCATATGTGCATCTACTCGCATGGACCTGTCCGCCGTGAATGTCTAGGCGCAAGAGCTTTCGAATATTAACGGGCTTCAGTTGTGACGGTCTGGACATCAATCTAACTGCGAATGAATTGGAGTGTGAATGAGCCTCAGTAGTACGAGCGCGTCTCTGTGCATGAGCCTGGGGCCTCCTGGGGCCTCCTGAAACCTACTGGGGCTTCCTGGGGTCTCCAGGAGCCTCTTGGGACCTCCTGGGACCTCCTAGGAAGGTTTCGTGCCCCAGGGGAGGCGCAATCTATAGCAACAGACGTACATAAAACATTGCGGATTAGAGCCACAGGAGAAGGGCAATCTATAGGAACACGCGTAAAACACCAAGGACTCGTGCCCCAGGAGAGGCCCAATACATAGGAACATGAGTAAAACAGTTAGGATTGTGTACACAGGGAAGGACCATCTATAGAAACATACGTAGAACATCAAAGAATCGTGCTCCAGGTGAGGCCCAATCGATAGGAGCATACGTAAAACACATGGGATTGGAGCCACTCCTGTTGCCTTCTGAGGCCTCCTGCTCCTGGGGCCTCTCGGGGCCTCCTGTTGCCTTCCGAGGCCTCCTGGCGCTTCCTGTTGCCTCCTGGGGCCTCCTGTGGTTTCCTGAGGCCTTCTGGAGCTTCCTGGGGCCTCCTGGAGCCTCTTGGGACATCCTGTAGCCTCTTGAGTCTTTCTGTGGCCTCCTGATGCCTCCTGGGACCTCATGTGGTCTCCTGGGGCCTCCTGGAGCCTGTTGGAGCCTCCTGTGGCATCCTGAGAAGAATCTGCGCCCACGAGCCTGGCCACCAAAACAAGCAAACCGATCGAGACATCCTCAAAATCTGGCCCACCTGGGGGGTGAACATGAGCGCCTCGCTCGAGACATCCTCCAAATCTGCTCCGAAAGCGAAGGATGTTGAGCCCAGAAACAAGCAAACCGCCTGAGACATCCCCACAAAATGGCCGCGAACGAGCCCGTGCAACCACCCCTGGCGGCTCCCCTTAGGGGTGCTGAAACCAGCGCCTCGCTGAGACATCCTCACAATCTGCTCTCCAAGCGAAGGATGTTGGGCCCAGAAACAAGCAAACCGCCTGAGACACCCCACAAAATGGCCGCGAACGAGCCCGTGCAACCACCCCTGGCGGCTCCCCTTAGGGGTGCTGATCCCCAGACAAATCTGCTCTCCAAGCGAAGGATGGCCGAAACAGGCAAACCGCCTGAGCATCCCCACAAAATGGCCGCGAACGAGCCCGTGCAACCCCCTGGCGGCTCCCCTTAGGGGTGCTGAGTATGAGTAAGTGTGTATGAGTAAGTCTGTGTATGAGTAAGTCTGGGTATGAGCAGGTCTGTGTATGAGAAAGTCTGTGTATGTGTACGTCTGGGTATGAGTAAGTCTGAGTATGACTAATACTGTGTATGAGTAAGTCTGGGTATGAGTGAGTCTGTGTATGAGTACGTCTGGGTGTGAGTAGTATGAGTATGTCTGTGTATGAGCAAGTGGGAGTATGAGTAAGTCCGACAGGAGGGGAGGAGAAAAGAGGAGGAGGGAGAAGGAGGAGTAGGAGGCGTCCAAGTAATAACAAGAACCCCATCTTAGGATATGGGGAACAAAAGAGCACCTGTAGGGGGGACATGCCCTGCCCAACAATGGCTCGTCGTGCGTGCGTGTCCGGGGTCCCCCCGGGCCGTGGCTCGCCGCGCGCGCGCGCTGCCGCGAGCGCGTGCGAGCAGCGGCGACGCGCGCGCGGGTCCTTCGGCAAGCAGGAGGAGGAGGAGGTGGAGGAGGAGGAGGTGGAGGAGGAGGAGGAGGAGGAGGAGGAGTGGAGGAGGAGGAGGAGGAGGAAGAGGAGGAGGAGGAGGAGGAGAAAGAGGAGGAGGAGGAGGAGGAGACGACAGGCAGCCACTCCACCGAGGCAGCCGCGGGAAGTGCGGGACGGCGGCGACGACGACGACGACGATCTAGGCCTCCCTGATGGGGTCGGAGTAGATGGGGTCGGAGGATCGCGCCGCACTGTCGATGCATCGGCGATGCGGCTCGATGTGGAGCCCGATGCTCTCCACGCTGGAGTCGGCGATGCATCGCCGATATCGCCGATGCATCGACGATGTATCGCCGATGTATCGGCGATGCGGTGCGATCCTCCACCCCATCTACTCCGACACCATCTACGAGGCCTCTAGATGACGACAGGAGTCAAGGAGAAGACCTTTGCGATCTTCCGCTCTCGGAGCGTCTTGGTGGACTCTTGGAGCCATCGTGGGGCCCGCGTGGGGCCATCTAGGAAGCCTCTTTGGGTTCTCTTCGGCCCCTCTTGACCCTCGGTGGCTCCACGAGGCCCCACAAACCCAAGATGGTCTCCAAGATCGCCCAAGGCATTCCAAGATGATTCAAGATAGCTTCCAACATGTCTCCAAGAGCCCTCAAGGTCGCCCCAGGATGGCCACAAGTGGCCAACATCCGTCAACATTGCTATGTACTTCAATCTGTTGTACCCTCTCTCCTTTTCTCCTCCGGTGGGCTCTCGAGGCTTCAGGATGGATGGCCTCAAGATGGCCCCACGAGGAGGAGGAGGAAGCAGAGGATGAAGCAGAGGAGGAGGAGGAGGAGGAGGAGGAGGAGGAGGAGGAGGAGGGGGAGGAGGAGGGCCCCAAGACGGCCTCAAGGGCGCCAACGACCGCCCCAGGAGCGGCCCATCAGGGCCCCCAGAGGAGCTTGTTCGGGCCTCGGTGGTGGGACCGAACTTTGCGACCCCCCCTCTTTTGACCGATAGCCGTAAGTCGGGCGTGATAGGAGGAATATTCAAAAAATATACACAAAAATATTCAGGGGACGATTCCCATATTATTTTTTAGCATTTTTCGAATATTGTTGGACTATTGGATTTTCGCCCAAAATCCGCCTGTAGGGGGACATGCCCGACCTAATGATAGCCTCCAAGATGGCCCCGAGAAGCCCCCCAAGGCCCCCCAAAGGGCCCCAAGGCAGCCCCCAGAGCGTCCCAAAAAGAACCTTCTGAGACCTCGCGGGGGGGGGTCCAGACCCAGGGGTAGGGGATAGGGGAAGGGGGACCCCCCCTCCCCGAACGGGAAGAAGGGCGTTGGCGGAACGAGCTCTGTAGACCACTCACGCCCAAGAGCGCTGCTGGGATGGCCTAGATCGTCCCACCCTGTTCTACGAAGGACACCGAAGAATGGTCGTGCTGACGGCGGTCGTATTCTCGTCGCCTCCAGAAGCCCTGATACATCGGAGTGGCGCCCCGGAGCCTCTGTGTCACGCCAGGCGCCGACCCAGGCTCCATTCCACGCTCGGGCGGTTTGGCTTCGGCCTCCCTGCTCCCTCTCGTCAGCCGGCTCGGCGACCTCTGCGGCAGTCGTGCGGGTGCTGTGCTCCCCCTTCGCCTGCTTACGCTGGCCACGGAGACGCTGCCTCGTCATGCGCCGCTTCCCTGCAGTCGTAGCCCAGGTCACGTCTACCGCGTGTGCGTCGACGTGGACGGCCCCGGCGGGCCTGCGCAGTACGAGGACTCTGGGTGCGGCGCGTACATTGCTGGCGCCGTGGCTGTGGACCCGGTGTCCGTTGTTGCAGGCCGCGATCTGTCTCGGAAGTTCGTGTCCCGTCTCTCCCGTCTCCCGCCTCTCTTGCACGCATCTGCGAGGGTGGCGCCATCGGATCATGCATCGAAGGCTCCCGCTCCTCCCCCCACCCCAGCCCCGCAAGAGTCGATCCGAGCGTGGGAGGGGTTGAGGGGGGCGCATTGGTGCGGCATCCAGGGACCTGCAGGGATTAAGATCTGTGGCGGAGACAAGATTAACCACTTCCTCCCCCTCCCTATCTGCCTCCTCCCTCCTCCCGTCCCTCCCCCCTCTCTCCCTCCCTCCGGCTCCTCCCTCATTTCACCATCCCATCCTCCCGTCCCTGCGTCACGCCTCCTCTCTCTTCTTTCCTCATCCCCCCACTCCCTCAGCCTCCTTATCTCGATCCTTCTCCTCCACCCTCCCCTTCATCCTTTCATCCTCCTCCATCTGTCCTCATCTCCCCCTCCTCCTACTTCGCATTCCTGAGAAAACTCATCATCCTCTTTCCCTCCTCAACATCCTTCTCCTCCTCATCCGCCTCGCCAGCCCCTCCTCATCTGCCCCCTGCCACTCCCTCTCCCCTCATCCTCCGCCTCTGTTGTTTCCTCATCCATCCACCGGCCCCATCTCTCCCCCCCCGTACCCTCTGACTGTTCGGGGGGAAAGCGTTGGCCTAGAAACGGCGAGGAAGAGACATCTTGGACACGCCAGCTCCATGATCTCCTGGAAGACGGTTGCAACATCATTTGTCGTTCCGACGCTGGCACGCGGATTGATATGCGTTTTGTTGCAGGTTGCGCGCGTGGAGAGGGACGGTGCTTCTACGACAACTGTCTTCGCCATTGGCGGTTGGCGGGGTCTGCACGGATTGTCCTGGTTTTGTCTTTCGTCTCGGAGGCTACTGTTTTGGAGGAGTCTTCGTCACGAGCCAGAAGATCGACCTGGTCAGATTCACGCGCCAAGCGCAGGAGATTTTCATTCTGCTGCTTTGACCTTGCTCATCTGCCAGCGCCAGGGGCGCCTCAGGCTGCGCTGAGAGAAAGGAAGAAACGGCGAAGCATGACGACCAGAGGAGGACACGGAGGACAAGGGGGACGGGGGGGACGAGGACGCGGGGAGGAGCAGCAGCAGCAGGAAACCGCGAGGTCCGATGCTTGATTGTGTCGCTCAGGTGCCCCCGGAAGTTCCGACCCCTTCCCGAAGGCCGTCCGTTCGTCTTGGATTAAGTCGGGCCTGTCCCTCTACAGGGGAAATATTCAGAGATAGTCAACAAATAGTATGTGGCCTATTTGTTGGGTATTTTTGTTGCCTTTTCGGGTCATGTTTTTAGTATTTGTTTATTTTCCGTTCTGCTGACGGCCCCAGGGCCTGGCGAGGGCCCCCCCAGAGGCCGGCACACAGCGAAAACAATCCGCGCAGGCATGCGTAAGGCGCGAAGCGAGCTGGGCGGCACGAGCGAGGGCCTGCGAAGCGAGACTTGGGCCAAGCGCGTCTCCTCCCAGGGCGCGGGCATCGTGGGTGCTCACGGGGGGGGGAGGATGCAGAGGAGGAGAGGGGTGAACAAGGGGGGGGAGGGAGAGGAAGAAGGGGAGCAGGAGGAGGAGGAGGAGGAGGGAGGAAGAGGAGGAGGAGGAGGAGGAGGAGGGAGGAGGAGGAGGGAGGAGGAGAAGGAGGAGGAGGAGGAGGAGGAGGACGAGGGCCAACCCAAGGTGCACCCACGATGTTGCAATAAACCCTCCCTCCAAGCTCCTTCATACATCTAAGTAAGACATTGCGTTCATTGCGGGGAGTGCCTCAGTGGAAGGCAATCGCATGAGAATGTTCAATCGCACGAAAACGCCATTCCTGGGACTTCGAGGCAGCGATTCCATTTGACAGTTGCGTTTCATACATCGCGCCAGACCACCAGTCCTGGGATCCCATGCCCACGAATCAACGTGACGGCTGCGTTCTGACAGTAGGGACACGCTTCAGAGCACCATTCCTGGGATTGTGCCTCCTCGAGTCCTTGAAGCGAACGCGAACTTTTGAGACGAATGCGCGCGGCGCTCAGGCGAGAGCCACCTCTTCCAGCCAAATCCAAACGAACGCCCTCCACCCCTGAAGCAGTGACGGATCGTTGATGCAGCTGCGCGCGGCGTTGAGGCGAGAGCCACATTGTGCCAGAGGCCAACCTTGCGCCCGGGAGGGTGCTGCACACTTTTGTGGCGCATGCGCGCGGCGCTACGGCGAGGGACGAAGTGTGAAATGGAGCAGTCCTCCGTCCTCGAAGGTGTTGCGAACATGTGCAGCGAACGAGCGCGGCGCTCTGGCGAGAAGGCACATTGTGAAAAGGCCCCGCCCCCCGTCCTTGAAGCTGCTGCGGGCTGCCGAGCTTCAGGGTCAGAGGTGGTGAGAAGGTCTCCATGCGAAACAGCCAGCCCCGCAATACCGACACGCCCGGGGGCGCGAACAGGCGAGGAGGATGAGGAGGAGGGGGAGGAGGACCAGTGTTAAGCCATGGCGCACTAACGATGTTGCAGTAAACCCTCCCGTCTAGTTCTTTGTTTTTCAGATCCCAGCAAGAGTGTGCTCTCAGTGTGGAAAGTGCCCAGGTGGAAGGCACGCGCTTGAGAAGATTGACTCGTACCAAAACGCTGTTATTGTGATGCCAAGTCTGCGAGTCAACATGATTGTTGCGTCCTGGCAGTCGCAACCGCGCCAGAACATGGAGGAGCAGCCGGACGAGGAGGAGGAGGAGGAGGAGGAGGACCAGGGCCAACCCAAGGCGCATCGTTTGTGTTGTGGTAAACCCTCCCTCCAAGCGCTTTCTTCATAGGTCCCAACAAAACAGTGTTGCGGAAAGTGCCCCAACTGAGAGGCAACCGTATAATAAGATTCAATTGTGCCAAAACGCCATGATTGGGATTCGACCCCCTCGAGTATACATGATTGTTGCGTCTTGGCACTCGCACACATTCCCAAAACACTGGGGATGAGCAGGATGAGGAGGACCAGTGCCAACCCGAGGCGCATTATTCATGTTGCAATGAACCTCCTCGCCAAGCTCCTTGTTCATAGGTCCAAGCAAAGGCATGCGGAAAATGCTCCAGTGGAGGGCAACCGTATGACAATGATCAACTGCATGAAAGCACCAATATTAGGATTCCAGCGCAGCGAATCAACATGACTTTTTGCATTGAGATCAGAAGCTGCACCAGAAAACCCATCCTGGGACGCCACCACCGCGAATCGACGTGACGGTTGGGTCCAGACAGCAAGAAGCCGCGGCAGGACACCACTCCTGGGCCGCCAGCCCTAAGAATCCTCCAGCCGACTGCAAATGGTTAAGACGAGTGCGCGCGGCGACATGGCGAGAACCACCTCTCTTAAAATAGTGGAGCGCCATCCACCAATCAAACAGGTGGGAACTTTGAAAACGGATGCGCGCGGCGCTGAGAAGCGAGAGGCACACTTGAACAAGGAGCCGCCCTCCATCCTGGAAGCTGCTGCAGGATTTTGCGACGACCGCGCGCCCAGACAGGGCGCGAGCCACAATGCGAAAAGGCGATGCTCTCCATCCTCGAAGCTGTTGTGCTGTGTAGGGCGCCAAGGCGAGGGCCGC